GGGCTGGGGAGATGGCTCAGTGGTCTAAAGCACCTACTTGGAACAAGCTTGACAAAGTATAGGGACAGCGGTTCAATCCCCCAGCACCACATGCCAGCCAGCCCTGCCCCCTGGTGGGCTGAGCTGGCCACACACACACAATAAATAAATGTTAAAATAAAAAAATAAAAAAAAAGTATGTAAATTATATCTCAATAAAGCTTTAAAAAAAATTAAAAGAGGGCCAGAGGTGTAGCTCATTGCAAAGGTCCAGGGTTCAAGTCCTCAGGACCTCCAAAAACACAAACAGAAAGAAGGAAGGAAAGGAAGGAAGGAAAGGAAGGAAGGAAAGGGAGGGAAGATCTTTATGAAGTTTTGCTTTCCCTCAATCTCTCCTTCACTTCCTCACAGTGAGGGCTGTAGCGTTTAAGACTGAGCCACAGGTCCTACTGTGGTAACACCTCTGCAGTAGAACTCAAGACTATTTCCAGGTGCACTTGGGGTTGCCACTGAACTTCCGCAGGGCCTGGGCAGAGCCCTGTTTCCATCCGCCTTCCTCCCTCTGTCTCTCAGCTGCACTCATACAGGATTGCTTATACTTATGCACACATTTTCAGCATTCAGAGCATGAAGATTCGTGGATTTCTAGGTCTACGCCCTTTCAACCTCCCTGAACCCAGGAAGGGACTGTGCCGGGCCTCGTTGTCCATCTTTATGACACTGGCAAATGAATCGGAGCCACAGGTGGGTAGAGCAGGCTCACCTGAGTGTCACCCGGCAGCTGTGAGGGCAGAGACGGCCACTGGGGCTACAAGGGTGCAGGGAGCCCATGGGAAGCAGGGGTGCAGAGCTAGAGTCTCGGCCAAGGGACACAGCTGGCCAGTGCGTCCTGAGAGCTACCTCCTGAGAACCTGGGCGTCCACGGCTGGCCGAGCCTGAGGGGACGGCAGGAGCGACTCCGAGCTTGTCCCGCTGAGGGCGCCCCGGGGCTCATACTCCTGGGATTCCCTAGCCTGGACTGGTATCTTGACAAAAATCCCACAAAGTGACTTGTTCCCTTTGCTTCCAAAAATCCCATTTATGTGGAGATTTGCCCTGAAGTTAACATCTCGTGGAAGAGATGTTACCCCTGAATGGATGCTTCAACTCTGTTAAGAGATGGCCAATCTCAAAATATTAACATGGGAAAAAATGGTACTTATGAAACGTAGAGAAGGAGGCTGTCACTATGTCCACAGTGTCCACTATGTCCATACTCTACAGTGCTGCAGGTCCTGCCGACCATGGCTCCTGAGGGCCTCGAGAGAACAGAGGAACCACAGGAGCTCTCGTTTCCAAGGGATTAACCTGCCGCTTCCTACGTGGCCATCCACGGAGACCGCACACGCCACCGCATCAAGCGTGTGCTCTGTTTCCCGCTCTGCGCTCGGTCCTGGCTCTGAGCCCAGACACACAGCCGTGCATGGGTCTCACCATCGAGGAGGAAGAATAACTCAGTGTTAACTTTGAAAAAGCAAAAGTCAGGAGATGACTGAATAAATGGGAAAGAAGATCCACAAGGGTTCCATTAAGCCTCTGCTTCTTCCTCTGCAAGAAAGGAAAGACCCAAAGGAACCCCAGGTACTGTGCTCCCCTAAGTAGCCCCTGCATGCGTCCCCCAGAGGATGCGGTGGGTGATCGCAGGGCGGCAGAGGGCATGCCTGCACAGGGCCTCACACCTGCGGAGCAATGCCCTGTGTACTTAACTTTGTTCTTTTCTCGGCTGCAGAAACACCATTTGACAAATTCAGTTCCTTTGTAAGATCAAACATAGCCATTCATCCTACCTTCCCTCCCCCATCCAAGGAATGCATTCCTCTCTTTGAAAGCTCCAGTGGAACCAAGCAGAAGGTTTACAGCCCTCTGGGGCTCCCTGCTGCTCCTCAAAGAGGTCAACTCCTGGGCCTGGCATTCGGCCCTCCTCTGGTGTGGCCAGGCTCCCTTCGACTTCCGCTCCCACGGCTCACGGCATCGGGCAAACATCTCTTCTCAATGGGAGCAGCTGCGCCTCTCTCCCTGAAGCTCACAGATGCCCTTCTGGGAAGAAGCATCCAACGCAAGCAATGTCGCCCCATCCTCAGGCTGTCTGCCCCTCTGTCCCCCAGGGGATGTACGCCTCGCCTCCCCTGGATGCCCTCTCCCCTTCTGCAGGCCCTCTCAGCCCTTCCTCGCTGATGCCTCCGCACCTCCACTGCAGTTCTGTGTTCACCCCCATTCCCGCTTGTGAGTCCCTCTATTCAAATGCAGGCAGCTGTTCCTCTTGCAGTCACTGCTGGGTCACCCCAGGCCCTGCCACAGTGGCTGCTCCAAAGTCCTCAAGGTCCAGAAAGTGCTAGGGAACTCCCAGCGGCCTACACAAGGCTGGCTAATGACCCGGGCCTGCTGCCTGTCCTCTGCTCATTCTCCAAGTGCTGTCTGCACACTCTTCACCCTTTCACGTTTGCACAGACACAGGAACGTGGGCAGTGGGGACGGCGGCGCCGAGACGGCTGCATGAGCCGTCCCTGAGAATTCACCACGTGCACTCTTCCCCCTGAGAGTTCATGGCAGGATCAGAATTGTTAAACTTGTGAGAGATGAGAACACTGAGCCTTAAAAGTTCACTAACTTGCGCACACAGCCACGTGGCCACAATAGCCAGGGCTTGGGCAGAGGCCGTAAGGCACCAGGCGCACAGCACCCAGCATGTAATGTAGCTTGGGGTGCAGGGACACAGGTGGAGGGGAAAGGAGGGGGCACAGGCAGAAGCCTGCGAATAATCACAGCTCAGCTGGACACGAGGGCAACACCAGCTTCTGTCACCCCAGTGGCTACTGAGCATTTTTTTTTTTTTTTTCAATTGATAAAGGATCTCCCTACACAGACCTGATTCACAGGGATCTTCCTGTCTTAGCCTCCCTAGCACTGGGATTACAGGCCTGTGTCACCATGCCTGGTTTCGGGGCTGAGACAGCATGCAGTACTGGGGATCAAACTCTGGACCTTGTGTTTGCAAGGCAGGCTCTTAGGCCACCAAGCTATCTCCCGAACCCCTACCGAGCATTTAAAATGCAGCCAGTGCCACTGAGGAAGTGGAGTTTTTATTCAGTTTAACTTTTTTTTTTAATATTTTTTTTAAATTTTATTTATTTATTTGTGTGTGTGTGTGGCCAGCTCAGCCCACCAGGGGGCGGGGCTGGCTGGCATGTGGTGCTGGGGGATTGAACCATGGTCCCTGTGCTTTGCTAAGCTTGTTCTAAGTAGGTGCTTTAGACCACTGAGCCATCTCACCAGCCCCCAGTTTAACTTTAATCAGGTGAATTTGAGTGGAAACACTGATCAGCAGGTCAGCAGTCAGCCCAGGCTCTTCCCACAGGCACCGTGACAAAGAAATGGAAAGGACTGTGGAAAATGATCAGCGCTCTGCAACACTCCTGACACAGACTGCATGTGGTCTAAAAGCAGCAGGCCTGTGCTCATGCCAAGCACGAGGACAGGTGGGGATGTCAGTTTATTCATTCATTTATCTATTTTGTATTTTAGGGAAGGGTCTACAAGGTGTTCAGGGTCTCAGTACCAGATCGGACTCCCAGTGATCTGCGTGTTTACAGCCTCCCAAGAGCTGGGATTACAGGCATGCACCACCACGCCCAGTCTCAATTGCCATCTCAATGCACCCCAGGTATGGGGCCAGCATGGCATTTCCAGTATCGAACCCCCAGCCCCGGAGCCTGGTTGCCGGTGCTTTAATCTGCTGAGCTATTTGGCCAGCCCTGGAGTGTCGTTTTAACTTCACTGACACTCAACCCGATCAGGAAGTGCTCTCCCAATTGGCGTGTCCCTGAAGGGAGGCTGCTGGGATGGGTGGGTTGAATAAGCATCAGAAACAGCCCGTGCACAGAGAACAGTTAAGACTGAAAAAGTACGAGATGTGCAGTATCTCCCTAGACTCTGAAAACAAGGCAAGCTTGGGTCCAGTTAAATCTTCCCCCATACTAATACAAAGAGTCCCATCTTCCTGGTCCTAGTCATACAGAACTGAACACCAGGTCTGCATCTGACCTTGACTACAAGAAGGAGCAGCAGGCTGTGCTCCAAGGAGGCCCTTCGGTCTGCTTCCTGCAGGTGTAGTTCACAGAGTGTTCATGTCCACCAGCACTGGTTCCTAAGGCATTCCTGTGGTCACCCCTCTGCCCAGAAACTGCCCTACCAGATGCAGGTGAGGACCCCAGACACTACCCATGGGGTGCAGGGAGGCTGCAGGGAGCATCCTGGGCAGCACACAGCTGGCTTTCTGACATCAGGCACTACGCCAGCCACCAACAGAAGGGGACCTCAGAGGGCCTGACTGTAATTGACAACTGGTAAGGCGCTGTGTACATGCTGAGACGGGGCCTCCCTGGGGAAGGTACAAGGGGCCAGAATGACCAACTTCACACTACTTGGCAAGCCATTCCTTGGAAAGGACCTTGTTGACGTCAACACCTCAGTCACTGCAAAGTCAGAATCACGGTCAAAAGTCAAGATGAAGCCGAAGAGAAGGAAAAACTTCAGGAAGAAAGCAACTGCAGCTGGGCGTGGTGACACATGGCCGCGATCCCAGCACTTGGTAGGCAGAGAGGCAGGACTGCTGAGAGTTTGAGACCAGCCTGAGCTGTATAGCACGACCCAGTCACAAAAAACAAAACAAGAAATAATTACAGAGACCTCATAGATCATCCACAAGAGAACCAAAGAAGTGGTACCACACTGGTTGTAATGGCTGAGCTAACACTTACAGAAGCAAAAAAGTACACTTCTCAGGTCAGGTGCAGTGGCTCAGAGCTGTGAGCCCAGCACTTGCAGGGTCTGAGGCAGGCAGATCCCAAGCTGAGTCCCACATGGTGTGGCAAGATCCTGTCTAAAAACGATGTTAGGGTGGGCGCTGGAGATGTCGCTGAGTGTGTGCCCTGGGTCTAAAACCCAGTTATCATAAAAATACTTTTCCAAAATTTAAATACCTGAAAGTATCACTAGATACCCTCACAAGGGAGAAGAAGCCAGGTTCTGCCCATCTTGTTCCCAAACATCCACAGCTCCCCAACCTGCCTTATCCCACAAAATGACTCCTAGTCCATGCAAGGTGCTGGGGGAGCCCAGGCATTGCAACACCTCAGCAGTTTTAACCCCTACTACCCCCTATAACCCCAAACCCCACCAAGCTAGAGCGAAAGCTTCACCTTGCCCTTCCGGAACACCCCGCCCCTTGCCTCGCTGTCCCTCGCAGCCCACCCTCCCGTGGACCACAGCCCACATCTTGTAGCCTGGAAGCCTCCTTCGTCCTCCTAGCCTGTGGCATCTGAACATGCCAAATCCTGACCATGCCTTACTACCCTTGGCAAGCTGGTCGATCTTGCACTCCTCCTGTTCACTCTCCTGGCTCAGTCTCCTTGAAAGCATGAACCGCTGCTCGTATCAGTCCACCCCTGGGGTCACCTACGCAGGCCAGGGTCCTGGCCAAGCAGCTGCTCCAGAAAAGGTAATTGGTGACACTAAGGAGCTCTGGAAGTCAAGCTCACAAGCCAGGCGGAGGCTGCTCCTCCATGCGCCCATGCCTGTGTGCCCAGACTTCCTCTCGAACCCTCCTGCTGCCAACCCAGCAACCAACACATCTCCCCAGGACTCTTAATCTTGGCATGCTGATCATTCTGTCCAGGAAGAGGTGCCCTACTTCACACATACAGGCCACACGCGCCCTGTGCCACCTAGTCATGTGCAAGACGGATGGGCCCTGCCTGAGGACCACGAGGCAGACAGGATAAAGAAATGCGTAAGATTTCACACTGAAGGGGTCCTTGAGTGTGTACACATGAGTGTGTGTGCACACACACGGTGGTTAGCATGTGTCACATAGGCAGGCCATCAAGGACAGAGAGATGCGCTTGGAGGTGACACCTGAATAGGGACCTCGTGACAGAAAGACCTGGGCCAGAG